ATTTACAGAGTATTTCAGGAAAAGCTAGTGGAATGGGTGGGGATGGTAGACTGCCCTTTTAAGTAGTCCTCCAGCGCCCCCCCCAAAAAAACAAACAAGAACCCTCACCACCTGCAGATTTACATAAACTTTGGATATAGAGCGCCCTCTCGTGATAAAATAGTAATAACACACCAACTAGAGGCATATGGCAAAACTGCAGTTTGGGTGCCACCTTGTGGTGAATTTGTGGTAATAACTGTAAGATTGGCAATAAGCCAAAATATACAATTCTTCGATGAGAAAGTCAGAATTCAATAAATATTAAGAATTTTAAGATGCTGAAATAGGCAAGGATATTTTGGTTAAAATCTTAAAAGCACAGTAAATAAAGTCAAAGGTAGACAAAAAATATTGCAATAAACAAAAAGGCTTCTATACAGAAAACAATGAGGAAAGTGAATAGACAACCTTCCTAATGAGGGGAAATTTTTAAAACTGTCTATAACAACAAATTGTTAACCAGAGCACATAATGAACTAAAAAATATCCTTCATAGCAAAATACAAATAATCCAGCCTTAAATTTTGGCAGCTTGGTGTAGTGGTGCAGATTTGTAATTCCAGCACTTGGGAAACTGAAGTAAGGGATTGCCATGAGTTCAAGGACAGTCTGGTCTATAAAGGGAGACCCTGTCTCTAAAAGAAAGTGCAAATGAATAGATAGATAAATAGATAGATAGATAGTGATGGGGAATGTTCTTCTGTGTATATGTTTATCTTATTGGTTGTTGAATAAAGCACTGTTGGCCAATAGGGAAGCAAAATAGGTAGGACTAGGAGTCAAGGAGGATTCTGGAAAATGTAGTAGAGAAGTCACCATGTGATCTAGGCAGGAAGTGACATAGTGGGGCAGAATCAGTATATAAGCAGGAAATCGCTCTCTGTGTCTTTTCTGTGGAAGATGCTTAGGAGATGCAATGTAGACTCCAAAGGAGTAAGAGGCCTGGACCTTTTCTCTGGCAAGATAAGGCCATATGGAAATACATGGATTATTAAAAATGGGTGAATAATTAAGACTGAGCCAGTAAATAAGAAACCTTAGCCAACAGCCAACAACATAATAGCAAAAATAGCATCTGTGTGTTTCTTTGGGGCAGAGAAGGGTGGCGGGACCTAGCTGGGTCAGAGAAAATTCATGTTACAAGATAGATGGATGGATGAAGACAAATGACCTAATAAAACATTTTCATTTCTCAAAAGAAGATACAAAAATCACCCACCTGCATATATAAATGCTCAAGAACACTAATGATCAGGGAAATTCCAATTAAAGTCAAAATGAGATGCATTTTCATGTGATAAGAATATAATTATCAAAAAGACTAGCAGTCACCAGTGCTGGTGAGTAGGTGAAACAAAAGAGCCCTTTGCACACTGTTGGAGATTGGTAAGTTAATTCAGCCATTATGAAAAATAGCATGAATGTTCCTCAATAACAAAATGAAAAATAGAGCTAAATATGACTAAGTAATCCCACTACTGGGTGTATAGCCAAAGGAATGAAATTAATGTACTGAAGAGACACCTTTAGTGGGTGTTAAACCAGAAGAAAGACAAAGAAACAGACACAAAAAGAGTTGCTATTGCTAGCTCTGACAGTTCTCCTCTGACATGCTCACATTCACCAACCACATCACCCTACCTTTCTTAGACTTGCCACCATACTGTCATTTTGCAAATGGACAAAATAAGGTCCAGAGAATTCAACCATTGACCAAGATCCCAGATTCAGTGAGAGATTAAATAAGCTGCGGGTTTTTGGATGTCTGAATCCTGGTTTTACTGCTTATCTGTCACACCATATCAGAGTTTTACCGTGTGTCTGCTCACAGGATCTCCAGACATCCAAGTTTATTATCTTGAAAAGAGGGAAACTCATCAAAAGTACAATATTATAATATACAGCTTCTTCTAGACCAGTGGTTCTCAACCTTCCTAATGCTGCCACCCTTTAACACAGTTTCTAATGTTGTGGTGACTCCAACCATGATGGGGGACATCCTTCTGTGTATATGTCTCTCTTTGGTTAATGAATAAAGCACTGTTGGCCAACAGGGAAGCAAGATAAGTGGGACTAGGAGTCGAGAAGGATTCTGGAAACAGATGCACAATCAGTCACAATGTGGGACATGGGAGAAGTAAGAGATCTGGACCCCTTTCTCCGGTAAGAGAAGACCACTTGGAAATACTCAGAAGTTATGGGTTAATAATTAAGTCAGAGCTAGCCAGTAAGAAACCAAGCAAACAGCCAACAGCTTCATAATTAATATAGTGTCTTGTGTGTTATTTGGGGGATGAAACTGCAGCAGGCGGCTGGCTAGAAGACTACATGTAACACAAACATAGAATTGTTTTCATTGCTACTTCATAACTGTAATTTTGCTTTCATTTTGCAACAATGCATGTTTTCTTCCCTGCTTCAGTTTGCATCCCAACTCCTATTCCCTTCCACAAAACCCAAGGCTCTGAGTCTTCAAGTTATTGCCACAGTGCACCAGAATATGTGATTATGTGCTGTCTAATTTCCTTTTGGTCATGTTCACATTCAGTTATTTTATACATATTGAAAATAATCTTTCCTTTGAATTTTTAAGCCACCACTACAGTCTGCTTGAAGATAAATTAGGCATTATTCCTAAGGCTTGGAGTGCTCTTCCCTAAGGCCCTAGAGGTTTAAACAAATGTCTTCCCTTTTCTCCTTTAAGAAAGCTAAGCTGAGTCTCCAAGTCTGTCCCTTGCTATTGTGATTTCTTATTATTTCCTTTCATCCCTGGAAGAACTATCCCAGTTTGGCATGATCCAATGCCTCGGTCATTGGCTGAGTGATATTTGCTTAAATAACAGCCCTTCCCAGATGGCTGTTAGGTCAAAACATAATGAAACTAAAGAGTGATCAGTGTTCAGAAATCACTGGCATGTTACTGGGTATGTTGGCATAATGCAATTCGATAAGCTCCTCTGATTCATGGCAAACCTGAGAAGGAAATTTGGAGGAGGCTTTTTTTTTTTATTTTCTTGCTTCAAGAGTTATTGGAAATGGCAGTTTCTGGCTGCTGAGGGTAAAAGCCTCAGAAAAATGAAAAAGGAGCAGTGTGTGGGTGTGCATGTTTGCATGTGAATAATTAGATGTTATGCTCAACAATCATAACAATATTCTGTTTCCAGGAAGCATTCCAGGGAAGGATGTCAAAGATAATAGACTTTACCACTTATTTTCAAACTTTTGGTATATTTTATTGCCTAGAAGGACTCTTAAAGAACATGACAAAAACATAAGCTCAAAGGTTTAAAAAATGCATTATCCTTTCATTTTATCCTAGTGTAATTCCATCAAAGTATTATGAAATCTCAAAGGCCAATTAAAATTACTATTTTGCTATTTTCTTTTATTATATATGCTTATTTGGTGAGAGAGCGTGTGCATGTGTGTGTGTGTGTGTGTGTGTGTGCGTGTGTGTGTGTGTGTGTGTGTGTCTGTTTATATAAGTGCTGCAGGGCCAGGGAATGGAACTCAGATCCTATGGCGTGGCTGAAAGTGCATTTATCTACTGAGTCATTTCACCCTCTTTAATATCTCTATTTTCATCTTACATGAAAAATTACCTTGAATGACCACAAAAAATGTACTTGCTCAATGAGGAAGGAATGGACCTAGCATCAAGGACATAACAACCTTTATTCACTACCAAATTGTGTACTCCAAGGTAATGTCAAGCACAAATGATTGCCTTCATGTAGTTCCTGTTCTGCAATTTCCAGGCCCAGCTCCGCAGATTGCATCCTTTCATCTTCACAATACCTTTGAGGATAGGAAGGGCAGGTGTTATTTGTACCATTTTTCTAGTTGAAGAAACAAGAACTGCGAGAGTACTGTGGAGATTGGTCAGTTGTCTCTGTCCATTTTGGCATAGAGCAAACTTACATTTCCTAGGATCCTTTAAGGGTAGCTCTGAAAGTGATACAAATCCTGCCCAGTAGAAGGTGTAGTAGTGGAATTTATGACTTAAGGGACTGATGCATTAAACCCTCATATGGATACACTCCCATCCTCCCTCCTCACCAGCTAAATGAAGAGTAATCTATGGATTAAGGCAACAACAAAGCTACAAGAGGGAGGAAGTCTGAGGCCCGTGTAAGTACTAGGAAGATGGCTGTGCAGGAAATCTAGTCAGCTAGGAATCTGTATTGAGTAGTGTGTAGATAAGAAGTGTGATGTTTAAAGTGATTGGAGTTAATGTAGAGAACCCAAATGATTTGGCTAGTGTTGTACAGCTAGATTTTTGTTTGTCTGTTGTTTGGACGAACCAATACTGGAATTCTGGCTATCTAGTGCAAGTGTATCCAACCTGTGGTCTATAGACCACACATATTCCAGAATAGATGTGACTGCAGCTCAGCATGTTTGCAGATTGCAACATCATATCACAATTTCAAGTTGATGTCTAGTTTAAAATTCAGTTAATTACCAGCATCAACTGTGTGTGAGATGCTGGGATGCATCCCATTCTACTCCAGGTACTGAAGTATTTAAACTACGGCAAAGTCACACACAAACTCTACAGCTCCCAATGTTCCCTGAGCTTTTTGCTTGTGTTCTTATGAACAACTATCCCAGCGATGGACACTGAACTTTAATGGTCTAGGAAGAACAGTATCTGAAAACTGTCAACCCTGAGCTCCATTCCTTCCTGATAATACAGCCAAGAGCTATTTAAGTGTCTGGAAAGATGGCTCCATGAGTAAGTACTTGCTGGATAAGGATGAGGACTCAAGCTCAGAACCTCAGAACCAATGTAAAAAGCAGAGGTGGCACCATACATCAGTAACCCCAGTGCTGAGGAGACAGGAGAAGGGGGCCATGCTTTTGGGAACTTGCTGGCTAATCAGTCTAGCCAAAATAATGATCACCATTCTCAGTGAGAAACTCTGTCTCAACACGAAATGTGACACACTCACACAGAGAGTTATTAACATATTTATTTTCTCCTGTTGACATAGTCTCAAAAGCATTTCCTATACAAAGAACCAACTAAATGAAGTGCATACCCAAAAGATAAAGCTGTTGATGCCACATTAGGTATGGGTTGCCAGGTAGACAGCCTCAAGGCAAAAGAGTAGATGCCAAGGTAGGTTGAAGGGTGCATGTATGAGGTGAATGAACAAAGAGGAACATTCCACACCAGTGTTTCAGAACCCCGGAGAGCTCCTAGTGCCCCATTGCTTTTAGAATGTTTCTTCAGAGACCCAGTTGGGTGTGTCAGTCTTTCTTCAGGTATCTCTATTTGATATTGAGGGCTTGTGCATATTCTTTCTGAAGAGTTCAGGACCTGTTTCCGGTAAGTATGTTGAGGCTGTCATATTCTGAGAAAAATCTAGAAAAATACATAATTGAGAGACATCATACTTTTGAATTATTATATTTTCTAGAAATGCCCTCTTTCAGGTTGGAAGCTTGTGTTTAAGTGGGTCTGGGATCCAAATAACATACACAACAGAAACCTTAATACAATTAAGAGGCTCTTTATTAGCCCCTTGACCCTCACAGGAGGAACGACTACAATTTTCTTCTGGAAGGTATTTTGTCAAGCAAGTTGAGTATAGTCTGTGAAAACAGGTCTTTCAGTAAAATAACTTTGTTGTAAGTGGAGTTTTAAGAACCTCAGTTACTAAGTCTATTCCTCATTATTGGGACATTGTTAATGTTTTAAATTATTCTATCACACTAATCCAGTTTTCCAGGGTTTTTTAAAAAAATGTTCTCCTCATGTTTATCATTTCTTCTATACAGAATTTTAATTTTTGGTATTCAATTATTTTTGTCATAAGAATGATTTTTATCACCTCAGAGCTTGTAAAGTTTAGAATAATTTCAGATACTTAAAAATGTAATATGTTCCCTCTTAAATTAATTTTTATCCTAATTTACCCATCTGACATCATGAATGAAGTATCAGTTTCAACCAATTTTCCTCTAAGGCACTAACAGATACTCCAATACAATTTATAATCTAATCTTCTTTTGACCGTATAGCTTGTCAGTTTAACCATTGACTCTGGTAACCTGCATGGGTAGAAATATAGAAAGATACATTTCAAATATCATGAAAAGAAGTAACATGAAGTAACATAGACTTATTCAACCCTGTCCAATGTGGGTTGTACCACCCATCTTTTCAGGGAGTTACAATCTTGTCCTGAAAGTTCCAATTTGTGTATGGGTGTGTAAATGTGAGTGCATGCAGAAGCCAGAGGTTGGTGTCAGGTATCTTTCGCCATCAATTTCGTGCCAGGATCCATAAAGATGGCTACACTCCATCTTTGCTAAAGACCAGAGAGTTCAAAACTGTCCCTAGTAAATCATAAGACGTAAAGGTCAAAGGTGTGGCTACAGAAGGATGTTTGATCTTGGTCTTTGGTGTCCTTTCCAAATAACAAGAGATTGGGTCTGAGGTTTCTCTTACACTTGACCCTCAAGGCCAGGTAACAAGAAATTAAATATAAGGTATGGTAACTGAATCCCTGGAGAATTGAGGAAAAAAAGTCTGTTTGTTCTTTATACATGATACCATGTTCCCCTTTTTGGTTAAGGTATTTAAGACTGGTGAAAAATAAACTTGGGGTGTTCAGTATTGACTGAATTTGCTCTCCTGACATCTATCCTGTGTTTCCATCTTTTCCTTTAATATCTTTGCTAGCCTTTCTTAATCCACACTCCCTCTCTCAGGTACGAACTGTGGCAAGTCGTCTGGCTCTGACTGCATCCCTGAAAAGACAGCTTCCAACACTTTTTATTTTTAACAAACACTTTTTTATTATATATTTAAATTAGAAACAAGCTTGCCTCCCAGCTCCCTCTCTCTCCCCTTCATGCCCATTCTCCCGTCAGCCCCACCAGCCCCCACCCAATCTCCACTCCATTCCCCAGGGAGGGTAAGGCCTTCCATGGGGGATCTCTAGAGTCTGTCATTTCATTCCTGGTCCCTCCCCCAAGTGTCCAGATTGAGAGCGCTTCCCTCATTGTAGGATGGGCACCCAAAGTCCATTTGTGTCCCACGGAAGAATACTGATCTACTACCCCAAACCCCATAGATTGCCTAGGTCTCCTCACTGACACCCATATTCAGGGGGTCTGGATCAGTCCCATACTGGCCTCTCAGCCATCAGCCTGGGGTCCAAGATCTCGTTCAGGTCAGCTGTTTCTCTGGGTTTCACCAGCCCAGTCTTGACCCCTTTGCTCATCACTCATCGCTCTCTGTCACTGGGTCCCAGGAATTCAGTTCAGTGTTTAGCTGTGGGTGTCAGCCTCTGCTTCCATCTGTCACTAGATGGAGGTTCTAGGATGGTATGTAAGATAGTCATCAAAATCATTATCAAGGATGAGCATTTAAATTAGTCTCTCCACTACTGCTTAATTTGCCAGTTGATGTCATCCTTATAGATCTCTGGAGATCTCACTAGTGCCAGATCTCCCCTTAAACCTATAATGACTCTCTCTATTATGGTATCTTTCATCCTGCTCTCCTCTATTCTTCCCCAAACTCAACCTTCCTGCTCCCCCACGTCCTTCTCTCCCCTCCTCCTCTCCCCTATCTTTTTCCTGGCTCCCTTCCTCATCCCCCCATGCCCCACCCACCCCATGCTCCCAATCTTCTCAGGAGATCTTGCCTCATTCCACCTTCTCTGGGGTACCATGCATATCTCTCTTAGGGTCCTTCCTGTTTCCCTGACTCTCTGGCAGTGGGATTGTAGTCTGGCACTCCCCTGATTCGTGTCTAAAATCCATATATGAATGAGTACATGCCATGTTTGTCTTTTTGTGACTGAGTTACCTTACTCAGAATGGTTTCATCTACTGCCATCCATTTGCCTAAAAATTTCAAGATTCAATTTTTTTTCTGCTGAGTATTACTCCATTGTGTAAATGTAGCACATTTTCTTTATCTACTCTTCAGTTGAGGGGCAGCTAGGTTGCTTCTGGCTATTACAAATAGTGTTGCTATGAACATAGTGGAACAGACATCCTTGTTGTATGAATGTGCATCTTTTGGGTATGTGCCTAAGAGTGGAATTGCTGGGTCTTGTGGTAGACTGATTCCCATTTTCCTGAGGTATCTCCATACTGATTTCCAAAGTGGCAGTACAAGTTGACATTCCCACCAACACTGGAGGAGTGTTCCCCTCTTTGCACACATCCTCTCCAGCATAAACTGTCATTGGTCTTTTTGATTTTATCCATTCTTACAGGAGTAAGATGGTATCTCAGAGTTGTTTTAATTTGCATTTCCCCGATTGCTAGGGATGTTGAGCACTTTCTTAAGTGTCTCTCAGCCATTTTAGTCTCCTCTATTGAGAATTCTGTATTTAGTTCTGTAGACCACTTTCCGAATTAAAAACCCTGATATTAACCCACACAAATATGAACACTTGGTTTTTGACAAAGAGGCTAAAATTGTACATTGGAAAAAAGAAGGAATCTTCAACAAATGGTGCTGGCATAACTGGATGATAGCATGTAAAAGACTGCAGTTAGATCCATGTCTATTGCCACGTACAAAACTTAAGTCCAAATGGATCAATTGACCTCAACATAAATCCAGCCACACTGAACCTGTTAGAAGAGAAAGTGGGAGGTACCCTTGAACAAATTGGTACAGGAGACCACTTCCTGAACATAATACCAGTAGCACAGTGAAATCGACAATTAATAAATGGAACTTGCTGAAGCTGAGAAGCTTCTGCAAAGCAAAGGGCACAGTCAACAAGACAAAAAGGCAGCCCACAGAATGGGTAAAGATATTCACTAACCCCACATCTGGCAGAGGGCTGATCACCAAAGTATACAAAAAACTCAAGGAGCAAGTCTCCAAAACAACAAAGGATCCAATTAAAAAGTAAGTGGTCTACAGAACGATTTTACTTTTAAAGATAGGGTCTCACACTGAACCTGGTGCTCATTAACTGGGCTACACTGACTACCTAGAATGGCCCAGATCCACCAGCCTTGCCTCCTCAGCACTAGGATTACAGGTGTACTTGACCACATTTGGCTTTTTGAGTAGGTGCTAGAGATAAACATCAGGTCCTTGTACTTGCATAGCAAGCACTTTGCCAACTGAGTCATCTTTCTGTGCCCAAAGTTTAAATTTTGACTACACTATTTATGTGTTTGAATATAGCAATTTATTAGCGTTTAAGTATTTTAAAGTGGATATTCAAATTTCACTAACATATTGCAGATATGAAATGAAATGTATTTTCTGGACTAGGTGTGTAGCTCAGTGGTAGAATACTTGCCTAGCATGTGCAAGTTCTGAAGTATAATCCCAAGCACTACAAAATGTGTAGCTTTTTTTAAAACACAAGTACTTCCCATAACACTTTGATTTGGAAATAAATATATTGAGAACCATCATCTGTTGCACAACTTTTCCTGGGAAGTCTATTTCTATTTGCCCCACACAATGAGGATACTGACAGGTCAAAGAAAACATTTCATGTAAGTCCAGCTGGAATATCCAACAAGTTTATTGGAATTATTTACAGGTTCTTAGATGATTAAAAGGTAGCCTCACCACTATGATGTCTCTAATTGAAACTTACGATTTTTACTACTGATTCATCTGTGATGGTTAGTTTTATGTCTACTTAATGAAAGCCAGAGTCATAAAATCATGCTGTAGGGCATTTTCTTAATTGGTGATCAAGAGGGGAAGGACCTAGCCCATGGTAGGTGGCGCCATCCTTGGGCTGCTATTCAGGGGTTCTATAAGAAAGCAGGCTGAGTAAGCCAGTAAGCATGGCCTCTGCATCAGCTCCTGCCTCCAGAATTCCAGCTCTGCCTGAGTTCCTGTCCTGACTTCCTCTAGTGATTGACAGTGATGTGGAAGTGTAAGCCAAATAAACCCTTTCCTCCCCAACTTGTTTTGGTCATGGTGTTTCATCAGAGCAATAGAAATAAAGCCAGGACAGTAGCCTAGGGGAAGGGTGGTACTTCTTTAATCTCCCGAGTCTCTTGCTACCTCTACAAGGGGATGTTCCTATGCCATGTCTCATTACCACAGCTACTCTGATTCAAGCAGCTGCGCAACAGCATCTTGTTGTTTATAGTATCTGTGACTTATTGCCTCCTGCTTTTTAAAGTTTCCTTCACGTCTCAAAATAAGATGTAATAATTCTGATTCTCTGAGGTCTTTCACGCCTTTTATTATTAGATTTACTCTCAGGTATTTAGTATAAATATCATATTCTGTTAGTTTCTGATGTTCTGCCCAAATTCTGAACCCACAATCACCAAGAGGTCTATTTCAATACGAAAGCAAAGAGTCTTTTATTGTAGTTGTTTAATGAGCTAATCCCATAGCTCAGGCCTTTCATCCATCCACCATGGCGGATGCCTGGAGAAAGACCCTGAGAAACCTCGAGGTGGATATAGGGATGAGCCCAGAAAGCTATCTGCCCAATATGGCAGAGATATGAAGATTAGCCCAGGTGGGCTATTTAAGGAAAAGAAAAGTATTCTCTCTCTTTTCTCTGGAAGCCTGCCATGCTTCTGTCTCCCCAGCTTGTATGTAAATTCTTTCTCTGGTAAATGGTAAATTATATTCCATATTGAATTGGCCTCCCACCTCAGCTGGTGTCAGAAGAGAAAGCCTATGCCTTCAAAATGGTAGGAACCTCCACCTGCCCAGCCCAGCGGCACGGCTGAGACAAAGAACACCAGCTTTCTTCAGTGTGAACCACAACCTATGCAGAGCTGCCATCGGGACCTGCTTGTGCTGCAGGCCATCAGGTGAATGCAATTAGTTTCCTGACACTGGTGACAGCCGCACCACCCTCTCTCATTTGCAACCGAGCACATTTGTTCAGAGCTCTAGCCTGCCTGGCACACTGCCTCATGGTAGTGCCAAAGAACTCCAGCCTTTGAAAAATGGCATGCATATCTTCTCCCGTTGCCTGTACAAACCCATGGCTTCTGGCCCACCTCACGCTGTGCAGCCCTGAGGTGAGTGCTGATCAGGATTCCAGCCTGCTTCCCTTGCCCCAGGAAACTGTGGGGGGAGTTCGCCATTCATACCTGCCTCAGCTGACCACCAGGTGCCAGGTGATTCACGCACTGGCCTATGGCCATCAGTGACCCACAGCCTGCCTCTTTCCCCCCTGCTGGCTCAGTCACCACCAAACACCCCCAAACACGAGTTAGCTATCACAGCCCCTCCCGCTCCAGCCTGCTTCAAGAGGTGCTTACACTGCACTGCCTTTCATAGCTCCCACTGCAGGCATGGCCAGGTGAATTGTGCCCCTCCTTACCCATCAGTGCACCAAAACCCAATCGTTGAGGGGTTTGCCTGCTTCTTCCTCCAGCGAATTTCTCCCACTACAGAGCCGCCACCAACCCTCCCAATGCCGCCACCACTGCTGCCTGTTGAGTTCCCTTGTGTTGGGGTACCGCAGACCAGCTCAGAAGTCAGAGCAAGGACCCCGTGCATGGTGTGGCTGCAGCCCCATTCTCCTGTTCTCCCGTTGCAGCACAGCTTCGGGATAAACAGCTCCCCTTGGTTCCCTCCGCTTCCCGGAAACTGTGGTCCTTGCGGGCTGCTGTTACAGGCTGGATTCAGGATCCTAGTACCCGCCATCTAAGGCCAGATCATAGGTTTCCACGGATATTTCTTAGCCACGTGTCCCTCAACCTTCCCAGGCCTTTCCCTTCCCGAATCTGTTCGTTAATTTTGTATAGGCTGTGGTTAGCATTTCCAGGTTCCTTTTGGTAAAAAGTGACCTTCTGTGGAGAAGTCGTGTTTGGCAGCACACCTGTGCCATCTGCTGGCCAAGCACAGCAATTACAGGTACATTAATTTTCATAGACCAAAACCAACTAGAGGTGATTTTTCCAATTCAGGAATTATTAATTGCTGGTAAGAACATCTAATTATAACAGGTAACTTAACACTGCAGGATGTTAGACATTTCATTAGCAACATCATGGCTTATGCAGTAAAAGACAATTATGATATATTTCAAATGTATTTGTGTACCATGCTCGTGATTAGTGTATTAATACATGTAATCCCATGGAAAAACTTTGGCAATCAGACAGATAATAGACAAATTGTACAGATGATTCAAAAATTAGAGTCAAAAATCAGGAAAAAGGGGATACTTTGGAACTTAATCAGAACAAGCTTGGAGACACATTTAATTCAATGTCCACTGCATTGATGGCTAAGATAGAGTCTAGCCAGGAGAAACTTAACAAATTAGCAGGGTCAATTCAATATATATCTGAAAACAATGGCCATCTAGCAGACCGGATAATGTTTCTTGAAGGCAAAATAGATGCTTTTAGAGCCTCTAGGGAGGATGTTATGAAAAACTTGGAATCATGCTTGACTGAACAGTCCAAGGAGAGTATTAATTCATTGGAACACTTTCTGATGCAGGCAATCCAAGCCCTCAGAGATGACATGGTCACAAAATTGCAATCTTTAGAAGATTCACTGTCTGAAACATCAGATGCTGAGCCACTAGATGCTAGGTTACCAGGAAATGAAGAAGCATAGCTATTAGATGCCCAAGACACCTTCCTAAGGTGGCTTTTTCAGTAACTATGATAGAAAGGCCAGCATCATGGAGAAACCAAACTGGTTCCACTATGCATAAATGAAAAACTATTCCAATGAAAGAATTGAAGGGAATTATGTAAGCTATGGTGGCTTATGTGGTCCACAGCCCCTATGTTACGGAATTATTGAGCACATGGGCAATGACCAATAAGATGACTACCTCAGACTGGAATAACTTAAAATCAGCGGTGCTGGACCATTCTTCCCAAATACAGTGGAAAACTTTGTGGGGACAGGAAGCCAAAGCCTTCAAAATTCAAGGTTTGAAGCTTCCCAAGTAAGAGTATTGCTGAGGGAGAATTTGCTGACACACAGGTCCAAGCTGGCTTTCATGAGCAAACATTTCATTTATGCCGAACATCGGCACTGAAAGCTTTGAATAAGGTTTATGAACAGGAGAAAAAGTTGAATCATATTCAAAAGTGGTACAGGGTCCAAGAGAAAGATTCTCTGAATTCTTACAAAGATTATCCAGAGCCATTGACTTACAGATAACTGATCCAAATATTAGGTGGCTTCTTACAGAATCTCTGCCTTATGAGAATGCAAACCCACAATACAAACAGACACAGTGGCCATTAAAGATCCATCAGCACCACTGGAGGAATGGGTCTTGTATACAGCTAATATTGAGTATGACAATCCAGAGACAGGAACCTGGGTAGGAGACACCATTTCTAAAGGATTTAAGAGGCATCAAGATGACAAATGGCCTAACCATGAGGAGATACAGACTTGGATTGGGGAAGCAATCTCTAGAAGTTTCAAAAGACATCAAAACTCTAGATGTCTTAACTGTGGTAGAATAGGACATTTGAATAAGCACTATAGACAAAGCATTCCAAGAAATAATGCTTCTACCAGGAATGCTTCAAACAGAAGGTCTCAGCCTTCTGGTCTCTGCAAGAGGTGTGGCGAGGGCAGACACTGGACCAATAAATGCTGGTTGACCACAGACTGACAAGGTAAACCTTTGCAGCCAGGAAACGAGTCCAGGGGCCTCTTGGTGGAGGCCCCCAGATTAAAGGTATCCAGTCTTTCCTAGTAACAGTGGAGGACAGCCTTTCCCAAGACAATTAGAAAACCCACTGCCTATTGTAAAGACTAATGACACTGTGGATGACAGATTAGTTATTGAGGAGGAACTAGTTGATACTGGAGGAAACAAAAAACGTATATTTTGGCAATCTTCTGTACAGGATCTCAGACCCAAATCACCAGTAAAAATGAATAATAAGGTATTTTCTGGGGTCCTGGACACTGTAGCTGATTTCACAATAATAACTCAGAAAATTGGCCTCAGGATGGCCTTTAAAAGAAGTAAATGTTCGCCTGGCGGTGGTGGCGCACGCCTTTAATCCCAGCACTCAGGAGGCAGAGGCAGGCGGATCTCTGTGAGTTCGAGGCTGGGCTGGACCAATAGCCTCCAAAACAATACAGAGAAACTCTGTCTCGTAAAACCAAAAAAAAAAGAAAAGAAGTAAATGTTCAATTTTTAGGAATCGGGGCCTTATCTCATGTGAAACAAAGTACAAGATTGATAGAATGTATTGGACTAGAAGGGCAGAGATGAAGTTTGAGGCCCTATGTCGCAGATATTGCTATGAATCTCTGGGGTCGTGATTCATTACAGCAATGGAATACCCAAATTAACATTCCTCCTGTATCAGATATGAATCATAGACAAGCTCTTGATAGTACAAAAAATATTGTAAGGTACTATAGAGAACAGTTACCAAACATACAGGCTATACAGAAACAGGATACTAGTGCCAAACCTGCAGAGAACCCAAAAGTTCTACCCTTAAATGGCTTACAGATTAACCTGTCTGGGTAGAGTCCTAGTTGGAGTCCTTGGAGAAGTTAGTTCAGGAACAACTAGATGATGGACATATTGAAGAATCAACTAGTGCATGGAATTCACCTGTTTTTGTTATCAAAAAGAAGTGAGGGAAATGGGGAATGGTTACTGATCTGAGAGCTATCAACAAGGTAATTCAGCCTATGGGCTCTCTACAACCTGGGATGCCACTACCTTCTCTAATAACTAAGGATGGATGTTTTTCACTTTCCAGAATTTGGCAGTTTGAAATATGTACACCATACCATAGACACATTCTCGGGCTTCAAATGGGCTACTGCCCTCAGCTCAGAAATGGCTGAATCTGTTATCACACACCTCTTAGAGGTGTTGGCAGTTATGGGTATACCTGCACAAATAAGAACTGACAATGCTCCAGCTTATGTCTCCAGCAAATTGAAACAGCTTTTCAAATATTATAATATAAAACATGTAACTGGTATACCTCAAGATCCTAAAGGACTAGCAGTGGTTGAGAAATCTAACCGCACCTTAAAAGAAATGCTTCATAAACAGCCAGGGGGAACAAAGACCCCCCCAAACACAGATTACATAATGCTTTATTAATGTTCAATTTTCTTAATGCTAATGAGAAAGGAAAACAGCTGCAGAAAGACACTGGACTACAGAGAAAACTTCTGAGCTGAACCAACCAGTATATTTCAAGGATAATATGACCTCAGTCTGGAAACCAGGATATGTGTTACACTGGGGAAGGGGTTTTGATTTTGTTTTCACAGAAGAAGAAAAACTTTGGATTCCATCAAAATTAATTATGAATCAATCTGAACAGAAGAAACCTCAGAAGGAAGAAAGATGACAGCTCATCTACAAGGTCATATTCTACTATATGCTACTATGTGTAGGGAGACCTCATAAAAGGAAAGGGAAGAGTTTTGTTTTTGTCTTTACAGGAATACTCTGCTCCAAACAGTGAAAAAATACTGGACATATGTCTACCTGAAGAAGAATGTATAGCTACCCTGAGGACCATCAAAAAAAAACAATTCACTGTGTGGTACCAATGTTTGAATGTCTCTATCTTGTTATTATAATTTCCATTTGCTTCTTAATATGCTTTAGTCCCCATTCATTTAACTGAAGCTGGCTTTGGAGTTGGATTGGCTTTCCTACTCTAAATCCAAACATATTGTTAAAATAAAATTCAGAATTTCTGTATTATATCAAAGAGCCATTGGTATAAGACAGAAGAAACAAAACTAGGAACTGTCATCTGTTTATACTCGGTTCCTTTTATGAAAGTCTAATTTCCCTCATGTTTACTATCTTCCTTATTGTTGCCTTTCCCAGTATGCATACATATAAAAGTTGAAAATTTCTTTGTTAACATTAATGTTTGAGTTTTCCAGGGAACAAGAAATTTCCTAAGAGCAATCTTCAAACACCTCGGAAAGAAAATGGGGCCCCACTTCATCGACTCCACCTGAGGACAAGTACCATCCTGAAACCGGCTAGGAACTACATCACCCGACACAACTCCAGACCAAGGAACTGATACGGTGCACCTTTTACAATCTGGCCAGAGCTTTAGACAAGAGCTTCAATCAACATTAGAACTTCAGTCAAGAACTTCAGTCAAGTATCTCCTGCCTAACAGAGTCTATTTAACCTACGTAAGAATCTTGTAACACTAACATTTTCTTCCCACAGGTTCCCATGAGACTGTCATTGTCCCATTTCAGCAAGAAGTAAATTTAAGAATTCCACACCCCCTTTCCCTACTGTTGATATCACGGGATAATTTACATCTGTTAATGTTAGTTTCCAACTATTTTAGGGTTGGGATTGGAAGGAGTTGTTCAGAATTGGGCATCCCTTTCAGATAAGTTTAGAATTTAGATGGGATAGATATATCTAGCTTAGGACATCAGTAAAGTATAACTTATCACCTTCTATGTACATATGTTGTATATGTTTGAGTTTTGTATCAAGTTTAAATCTTCTATTTAGACTAGAAGGGGAATTGTAGGGATGAGCCCACAAAGCTATCTGCTCAAAAGGGCAGAGATATGAAGATTAGCACAGGTGGG